TGATGAATGGGCTCTCTATCGTTGGTCGTATTGGCATCGGATGGCTAGCTGATCGATATGGGAAAGTTACAGCCTTGGCCTCGAGCTTCATCCTGTGCGGGTCCGGCCATTTTCTATTCTGGCTGCCAGGCGTGGCGGTACCAGCTGAGAATGCAAGTTCCACCATTGCCCTCTTCACGCTGTTCTCGATATATACTGGCATTTTTGGGTCTGGATTCGTCAGTCTGTTCCCTGTTGTTATTGCAGACCTATTTGGAGCGGATATGCTAGCTTCGAAAGTCGGGCTACTAAACACTGTTACTGGACTCGGAACTCTTGCTGGGCCAAGTATGGTGTATGCTATCATCGGGAATGGAGTCGATCTACATTGGGCTATTGGTGTTGCTAGTGCTGGCATCTTCATGTTCGTTGGCGGTTTATCTATGGTAACTATGTTTGGCTGGCTCAGTAAACATGACCGTAACGGAGAGGAAGCGTCTCAAATAGAACTGATGTAGAACGCTTATCAATCACATTTTCTTTAATAGCCAATGATAAAGGCTTTAATGGAGTGTATCAGACCTGCATTCGAGATTTTGTGAAGGCCGGTTTAGGCTATCCTTATAGAGTTTCTGATGTATGAATCGTATGATAATGCTACTCATTTGCGTGCCCACAGCTTACCTAGCCAGATACAACAGAGGCCTAGGCAGAGTCCTCCCGTTACTGCTGCAGGAATCACTTGCAGTAAAATTTTGACGACGAAAGCCGTCAATTTTACAGTGGTAGTGGTCTTCGTCGATAAGTGGCCGTTTACCAAGGGTAACGATGAGGTTGGAGCGTGATATCTTTTTACCGTGGCCTTCAAACCCATGCTTCCATGCTGTAACGCCGCCATGTGTCTCAAACCCAAGTTTTCTTCGCATCAAATGCCTTTGTGCTTCACAATGCTAAATGCCGACATATTTTATAAATGCTTAGGCTGTCTTCCGGGCATTACGTCGCGTGAGCCATCTTCCTTTGTGAGACAAGAAAATAACCTCGACTTCCGCCGCGCCATCCTTTGTGCCAGCCTTCTCGACTCTCTTGAACGAATGCGATGGCAGAGCTGTGAGACATACGCGAGCGATATCCTGGAGAGTGAGGCTGGTGAACCGAGGAGGCGCTTGGGCCATGGCTTCTGCCGAGGCTGAACTTCAACGAGGTCCAATTTTCAGGGCCAGGCACCTGAGACTGCCGCCCGCGCTGATGATTAGTTTACCAGCTAGTACAAACCACCCAAAGCCATCATTGTAGCAGATTAGCCTGTTCCAGCCCTTTTTTAAGCTGTGGAGTGGGGGCCAGAAAAGGATCCAAGTCAGGGTTGGATTTTCCACCAGATGTACGCCTCAGGGGGGTTCACACGTGGCCTTCCACAAATAGCAAATATCCTGTGGAGCCACTATTAAGGGGCCATAAGACAATCGTATTAGATTAGCGACACTAACAACACTAAATGCGCCCATTGGACCGCTTTTAACAATCCGATCCTGCCGCAATAGCCCTGCGCATTGTGCTCAGACCAAAAAACTTGCCGAGGCTAAAGTCTCTGCAAAAATGCCTGCAAAATATCAGCCCTAGGAGCCTGTGCTAGGGGTCCCTGGACTGAAGTTGTCTCAGTCTTGCCTCGTGTCGCTCGACTTTTGAACTTAATTGCATTATATCGGACTGACTATTACGTATTAGAGAGTTGGTGGGTTGGGATTGAAGTTGGGAATTGGCTTTCCAGGCGGCTGCGGGCGGGAGGCCCGCACGCACAGCTCGCGCTCCGGCCTTCTCATGTACTCGGTGCCTCCGATTTTTGGGATTTTACGATATGGGATAAGGGGGAAAGTCATAGTGTCGATGAAAGCGATGGGAATTATTGGCTGCGTACAGAGTATCAATCGTCTCGGCTGGCTGGCGCCGCCCTTGCGTACAGGGATGATTCCCCAGATTACTCCAGCGATCATGACGACTTTTCGGGGCGAAACATGTCATGAAACTTCTGTCCACGACATATATCAAGTGCTGCTCTTAAACTCTCTACTCCCTAGCAAAAAGGAAGAAGAAGAATATTCATTCTACCCGTGAAATAGTCCATCCCGTTTAATGTCTACGAAACTCCCTTATCAGTGTCGTTATCGTCCACACTACTTTTATTATAGAGATTGTCCGGACTAAATCGCTATGCAGGACAATCGAGGTCCTGAATTAAGGGCAATAACCGTGTTTTTCCTTGCTTGTTCCTGGATCTTCGTTCTTCTGCGTTGTTATTGTCGGGCTGTCCTGGTCAAGGCTTTTGGACTCGATGACGGGCTTTGCCTCTTTGCACAGGTCAAACGCACTTTCAAAGGCATCTCCTCTCTACTTAGCTAACTTGTTGCAGATTCTTTTCACCTTTTTCTGCGGGTTTTTATTGGCAAGCGTTGCATGGGGCGCTGGACAACATATGGCTGATATTGAGCCTCCGTCGAATATTCCTGTCGCCGTCCATGTAAGTACTCCAGCCTGCAAGCATCCACAAGTCTTAAGAGCTAATGGAATTGCAGTGGTGGTGGATATGTGGGCCCATCTATGTGATCTGTAATATGATGCTAAAATTTAGCATCGGGGCCTTCCTCCTAAGGCTATGCGTGTCGCCGGTTCAGCGAGCCACTCTCTGGTTCGTCATGGGAACGTCGGGGATTATGTCTGCTTACTTATTTTTCGTCCTTATTTTTCAATGTTGGCCGGTATCTTATTTCTGGGAACAATACACCGGCATGGAAGGAAGCTGCATTGATGTTAATATCATTACAGCTTCCGCTTACGCTTACTCGGCCATAAGTTGTTGCACAGATTGGACGCATTGCATCTTGCCTACTTATATGGTCTGGAACCTACAGATGCGGCGCCGAGTTAAGATTACCGTTTGCCTTATTCTCGGTATCAGTGTCATGTGAGTTTCCATCCACATTACGGCAGAATCATTCCCTTGCCAAGACAAACATATTCTAATCATATATAGCGCTTCTGCCGCAACCATCATCCGCATTCCATACATCCATGGCTTCAAATCTAGCTCTGACTTCCTCTACGCAGCTACCGACCTTTCCATCTGGTCTATGGTCGAAATTGGTCTCGCCCTTTCGTCTTGCGCGGCTGCAACCCTTCATCCCCTCTATCGCAAAGTCACCAACCATTCCTTTGGCGACAACACAACAGTCCATAGAGACATAGGTTATCCCCAGAATACCCAGGCATCCATTCGTGCGGGATATGTGCGTAGCGACAGCGGTACTGATCATGGCCGCAGGGAAGACTTCGAGGGATGGAGAGATCTTGGAAAGAACACAGGAATCAGCGCAGATATTACAGTCCATGCCGATGACGACAATGATATAATTTATCTAACTAGCTGGCCAGAAGACAGTGACGGTGTTGGTGCCGAGGCTGATAAGTTTACGAACTCTAGTCGAGCGAACTTGAAGACCGATGAGGAAATCAACATCGGGTAATAGATGTAGTATCTGGAATAGATTGACAATAATTTCATCTTAGATATTGATATATAAAATAGAGAGCTGGCACTCTTATTAATAATTTTATATTTCCTTGAAACTATTCTAAAGTTAACATTTATTTGAGATGAATGGGGGATCTTTCTGTTATCTCGCGCCAATCCTCACCCCGTCCTGCGTGCTCGCCAAATGAAAGTGCACGTAACCCCTCGCCGCTTTTCTCAGATAGCTATAGTATTCTAATGTCTCGCCCAGGGAAGGAGCGTCGATTTAATATAGAGAACTAGATGCCTGAGACTAAAGGAAGCTTTATGGGTAAATCGGAGTTGGGTATCGCTGACACATGCAAGACTGTTTGCCCATCCCTCCTTGAATCCGAGCAAAGAGTTCCAGAGGATTCACTGTTTCTTGACCAGACTCTCGACACCTCCGAAATCTCTAGCTCACGTGATAGCTCACCGCCTTTGCTCAGTTAGCTTGCCCAGAAACCGTCAACTTTTTATCGAGGAGCCTGAAATGACCCTCTTTCAGGGGTCCCAAATCTGCTCCCACTCATTCCCAGACAGTTATCCTAGTCTGCCTGTATTTATGCGTGGGAGCTTTTTCTGCGACTTACTTCAGGTTGTTTAAAAGCGTTTTGCCTACCGCTATATACTCTATAAATGACGTTTCCCTCCCCCCTTCATGTATTTTCTCCTCGATCTTCTCCTACGTCTTCTCACGTCTTCTTATACATCTTCTCATACATCTTACACATTCTCACACATTCTCACATCACTTCTCACCCGCTCTTACCTCCCCTCTCCCTATCCTCCCTCCCGTAAGGGAATTGTAAAGAGTCATGATAGTGGTAATACTCCTGAAAGGGTGGACTAGCCGAAAGGGATCGTATCAGTAAAATCGACACCTTTGCTTAGTCAAGGTGTATGATACTGGGCACCAGGGGTGCCAGAATTGATGGCACAGGCACCACTTTAGCTGAAATACCACATTAGCAATGGAGCAACATTAAAATGGAAAAAGTTCGTGCGCATATATTTAAGATGCCTAATCGATATAAATTAGTAGTGGAATCCGGTGGGAGAGCGCGTTACAGTAATATATAAGAAGAAATTGGGTATGCGCCTGTGCCATCAATTCCGACACCCCCTGGTGTGGGGGTGTCGATGTATTAATTCATGGGACCCCCGAATTTTGTCACAAAACTTCTAACTTTACAACACAACATAATTAAAGCTTCTAAATTGATGAGAATATTCGCTGCACTTGGCTCTCTATTTTCGCGCGCTTTGGTTTTGTTTTAAGTTCGAAATTGTAAAAGAAATCTAGATTGTTCATTTCAGGTGTTCCATTGAATCGCAACCACTGGTGAACACATATCCTTGCTTGCTAAGCGACTATTCACTGGCGAATGTAGAATAACTCATAAAACTACCTACTTAAAATATTCAATTTTCGGAAATTCAAAAAAAAAATTTCGAGAGATTTCCCCTCTTTGAAGGCGCAATCCAGGATTCGAACCTGGGACCTCTCGCACCCTCTTCGGTCAAATTAGTATATTTTTAAAACATGGGAATTTTTGAGTTATACGTACAAGCGAGAATCATACCACTAGACCAATTGCGCTTGGTGATAGTGTCGCCCGCTATTTTGGATTATAATGTAGGTAGACACTTGGAACTTCCGGAAGATTTGGCAAGGCTCGGTGTGATAGCCCTGGAGAAGATATCACGACAAAGGCAAAGCCCACAGGTAAATGCTGTATTTCACGTGAATACTAAGGTAAGGAGCAACTAGCCAAGTGCACTGAGATTTTATATATAAGTGCGCGCAGAGACCTCCTACCCATATGATGCACCCGTCGTCTTCCGCAAAAGTTTTCAGCTGATTTTGACGTCAATGACGGCTTGACGGATCAGCTTATGCTCCTTATTTTGACGCGTTTGACAGCCTACCTAATTATTTTGACTCGTTTGACAGCCCACTCAATTATTTTGACGGGTTTGACAGGTTTGATAGGTTTAATGAGTTTAATAGATTTAATAGCCTACTTAATTATATTGATACATTTAATAGGTTTAACATATCTTGAGCAGAGGTCAGGTTCATGCGCAGGTTGTAATCAGATATCAAGGTGAAACTCAGTGTTATATTGACTATTGAGTAATGCAGAGACAATTAATTTAACACAGCTACGCTGGAGTAAGGACCCCTTTATATAGACCTATTCAGCCTCTTATTGACTCACATGAATCCTCTGAATCCTGGATCCTAAAGGATATCCTAGATCCTAAGGGATGTGTAATGCGTGCTTGAGGTGCTGATCAATAATATATGTTGACTGCGTCTGGGCTTCAGGCACATATGTCACGATGTCTCAGAAGTAGTGGCAATATACGCAATAGCATACGACTGTATAGTCGTAATGGCTTACGTATATTGCCATATAAGCAGGCATATAATAAGCGTTGTATTCTGTAGTCTAAACCCCTCAGTTGTCTCTGTATCACTTAATAGTCAATATAACTGAGTTTCACCTTGATTCTGATTACAACCTATACACCTATATTGCCTCTGTTCAAGAATATATTATTATTATTTAAATATATTACTAGCTTAGTATTTAAGTATATACATTCAAGTATTAGAGTATATATATCGCCTTCTTACTAACTGCAGCCACATATATTTCGTATTTACTGGAAGCAGTCGCATGTTAGTAATAATTACCAGAACCAGTTTCTAAGTATTCTAGTAAGGTATTCTAGTAACCTTAGTACATACAAATTGCCCTGCCCGATAATATTACATTAGGTATCCTTATTATAGCTATACAATGAAATAGTGATCAATTCAACTACTCCCTAGCTAAAGCAGCTGCTTTTACACTAAGCTGGTCGCTTCCTTAATGGATATTGACGTAATTGAACCCCCTGATCCACCTGATCCTGAACCTATTGTTCATACTGTAAATTACTCTACCATATATCATCCATTTGATCCTGATCAACCTAATCCTGATCTACTTCTATAACTTCAGACGTAGTATTAGAACAGCCACTATAATCAGAAAAGGAGGCTGAAGTCGAGGGATGGCAATCGTGTGGAGTATATAGGATATAATACTGAAGAAACTAGTCTTTTGTTGCGCAATTCGAATATAGAAGGAGCAGGTAGATAGGAGGCAATGGAGTTGAAGTTGAGTCTTATTGTTTTAAGTAGTATTACCCTGGATTCGCCACAGTTAAGTATCTAGATCGTCGCTGCTTTCTTAGCATTAGCTATATTCATCCATAAATCGAATAATATATCAGTAGAGGCTGGAGGGTTCTACTGATCTTCAATTGCAGTATCCATTGTGGCGGTAATCGTGTAGGTAGTGATGCAGGTAGTGGTTTAGGTGATCGTGCAGGTGGTGGTGATGAAAAGTTAAAAGACCCTGAAAATGTATAAGTAAACAACGCGTCACGTAGTGATGAAGAGGCACTTAAGTTTGTATTAGTAATTCGTGGTATTAAGAAGTACTAAATCATTCTAGGGTACCACATGCCCCAGCCTAATATAGGTCGAATACTGGTTTTTGTAAATATTACTAAAATGCAACTGCTTCCAGAAAATACAACATATATGTGGCTGCAGTTAGTAAGAAGCCGTATATATATTCGAGTATTGGAGAGTGTATATTCGAGTATTAGAGCGTGAATATTCAAGCATTAGAGTACTTATATCTACTTATTATATTATAGCTTTCTAAGTCTAATATCAAGAGAGGCATGTTATACTAGCGATACTGATTGACAGCTAGTTATAGCTATATATAATGGGTGACTGGCTTCCCTGGTTTACTATTATATCCCTTGACTGCAATAGGGCTAGGTAGCCAGACAGTTGTAATATTAAAGGACCTAGCTAGGTCGATAGCAAAGAGCGTGTTTACAAATACAAATCCATTCGCTCCGGAGTCAATAAGGGCACATAAGGCAACACTAGTTCTATTAGTTGATAGTATACAGGCTATAGTAAGGTGTTATCCTCCTATAAGACTTCTCAAGTCAATACCCAGCAAATTAACCCCTAGGGAGCCTAGACTGGAGTCTTTATCTAGGCCTCCCCTTTTCCCAGGTCTGAATAGTCACTCTCGTCCCCGTAAATAGCGCTCTTGTAGACTCCCAGATCCCCGGTCTCATTTGTCTCAATGTCCTTGACTTCGGCCGCACGATTAGGTAGCTTGCATTAAGCACGTAAGTGACCGATTTCTCCGCAATTGAAGTATCTAGCCTCCTGCCGGATCTGGGGTGCAGTCGGCTGGGTAGCTAGCTTAGGTCGCGGCAGCCAGCCCGGAGCTGGTGGTGGTACACTGCCTACCTGGTTGAGTGGCTTTGGTGGTGACAGGGGGTTGCGAGCCTGGGCCGGGCGGCTGAAGGGTGGCTGTATAGCCCTAGCCGGTTGGTTAGACGCCTCCATATCCTTTTTATAGATTGTGTTGATATGCTTCTGGCCTGAATGAATATCTAGGGCCTTGATATAGAGCCTATTGAAATCTCCCCCCAGTTCGTCAAGCTGGGGCAAGATCTTGGACTGAAGAATAGCAGTCATCTTTTCATAAAGGTCGTCAAAACGCTCCGACTGCGGGATACGACCCTCGTTTGCCAAGTGGGTAAACTCAATCTTGAAGTCCTGGAAACCTTGGGTGGTCCCCATTCGAAGCTCGCGATATTTAACCTTGGCATCGCGGACCTTAAAGGGGTTGGTGTAGACTGCGTCTAGGGTATCCCACATCTCTTGAAGTGACTGATACGGATCGGTATTATCCTTATCCCGGCTGTATCAAGGGAACAGGTGTCTATTCGCATCCCCTTCAGTATTGTTCAAGAGACAGGTCATTTTATCACGCTCTGTAGGGTACTAAAGGCCGTCCGTCTCGAATTTATCCATCATCTTGTTCCTCCAGGCAGGATAAGTGATCAGGCCACTATTATCACTAAAGGCAGTAGGGAGCTTAATCCTAGGCTTGTAGTTGCCGCTGCTTAGAGAAGAGGAGGAAGGGGGAGGGCCTGATTCCTCACGTCTTAGCTGGGGTTCTTCCATATAAGACTCGCCATACTGCTTCTCGGCCAAGAGGCCTATAATCTGCTTGTTGGTTCGGATCAGCTCGGCAACCTGTCGATTGAGGGTTCGAGTCATGCTCTCTTGCTCTTTAATCTTCTCATTCTGGAGTTCAAACTGGATCTCATGGTCGTCAATAGTATGGCATAGCTGGGTATCCTCTCCTGGGTCCTCAAGCTCTTCCTCAGTAGTAGCAGCCCGCTGGTTAGTTCCTAGGGGATGGAATTCACAGGTCTCCGATCGATCCCGTGAGGTAGCTCGGGCCTTACCCGTATCCCTAGTGGAGGGAGCCATATCGTTGTATTGTGGTAGAGAGATTCGAGGCAGTCGCGCAGTGACGTTGCGGGCGTATCTTGATTCCTGTCGCCGCAGGCCGTCAAGGGCAGTATTCTTGCCGGGATATGTTTGCCAGTCACGTAGGCGCGTATTCGATTGATCTCAGATCGGTCAGGTCTTCAGAGACTCTGCTCAGTATTCCACTCTCTCGGAAGGCAAGTGAGTGTACTGCAGGAGCAGCTACTGCTTATTGATCCACTCCTGCAAGAAGGTGAGTGAGTGCTCCAAGGTCCCTTTTGATCGAGGATTGAGAAGATGGTTGTTGATCTGTAGATCGGAGTGTCGAGTATCGAGTGTATTAGTCTAGATTGAGGATCTAAGATCGAGAAAGGGTTGGTTTGATTGATGGGTGCTGGCTCCTAGGGCTTATCCAGCTGCCCTGGTTTTTGATGATTGTTTTACGACCAAGGGTCGAGGCTGAAAATGTTGAAGGGCTGTAGATCGACCGATCTGGTGGCTCTCAGCGAGCAGCAGCAGTATTTAACCTCGACTTACTACGAGGGCAAAGAAGAAGAAGGGAGAGTTTAATTGTGATGTGACAGCCCGGTTGCTGTAAGCCACACGAAGGGAGGCAGTGGCCAGTAAAAGGCGCTGTATTGACGAACACAATTAATCTAAGGAGAGAAAGGCTCAGCGCAGCGCGCTCAACTATATAAATACAGCACGGCCTGGATTAAGCCTAGTGCCGAAGGGACATAGCGAATCGCTTGCGCCCGCTCAGACACGCTAGTCCTAATCCGTCACGAGTCCCCTTCAACCACCACACCCAGATCACCGCCAGCCCGGCAGAGCCACACCGCCCTGGCCTGGCTGGAACGTCACACTCAACAACAATTGTTAATTACTCTGTCTATCAACGTTACATTAATTTCTCCTTTAGCTTAATATAAAGGCTTAGCGTATAGATGAGACAATGCTCTGTCACACCTGATTTAAATCATAGACTATACTAAGGTAAAAAGCTCGATTGTTCTATGAAGGCACTAGAGGAAGTATACAAGACAACACCTATGCGCCTGGATCCTACTAGGGGAGAAGAATAAGTCTCGCCTTCGACCATGCATTAGCGCCATTTACTCTGGCACTCCTTGGCAAAATCCTCCACGCTGCTTGTCTCCTGTGATCTTCCAGCATAGCGGCGTGGCCTCAATGAGACCGACCATATTATGCCTTCAAGCCAGTCC